GCATATGTCTACTTCCAGCCTAGGCTCATTGTCACTGTAGCATTGATGTAGACAGCACAACAGCCATCCATGCCATGAAACACCCTAGGAATCGGAAAAATCACATAATTCCCATAAGTCAAGCCACCACCCATACATCTGTGTTTCTATATAAGGTTCCACAGTGTGCAGTTTTCAGAATATAATTTTTGCTGCTGCTTGGGTCAACAAGACCTCAGAACTCACCCAGCTGTAAGATTAGAAACCACCACACAACTATGACTTATCTGAAAACCTGTCATTAATCTACTAAAACATCCACGTATTCAGATAACAGCACCTGCATAATAAAGTGCCTTCCTTCTATTACTCACACAAACATAAATGAAAAATATATCAGCACCATTTGAATCCAACTTCATATGGAGCTACTTTGAACTGTTTCTAGCATGACTTTGCTAAATCCCTAGACATTGAATATGAGCTTGAATATTATTTTACAATTGCTATTCAAAGTAAGATCAAACCTGGAAGCTACTAGAGTCACAAGTGAAGGGATGAAAAAAAAAAAAAAAGTGGTGTTGCTTTTTTAAAAATCAGTCTAAGAAGACTGAAGGGGACAGAAGAGAGGTGATTGCCTGGCAGGGACCTGCTGATGCTCTCTGGTTTGCTGACACCAGGTCAGTAACCTGCTAAACCCACCTTGTTCCACACACTGTGCAGGTTAACAAGCCTTCTGACTTGTGGAACCAGATCCAGGCTGAGGACAAGATAGAAAAAGGAGAAACAGCACTGCTCTTACATCTGAAAAAAAATTATAAGTCAATGAACTGTAGAGTGTGAGCAGAAAATAAACCCATTAAATGATCGCAAAGAGCACAAGTACCTCAGGTCATGGTTGGCAAGAAGGCTGACAGAAACTGAATTGGTCAAGTGGGCTTGGAAAAGGCATTGAAAGAAAACAGAGGAGAGAGGAATCAGTCTGGTGTTGAACTTGAAAAAGAAAAGACAGAGAAGCTAAAAGATTGAATCTTGATAAGTTTCCCATAAGCACAGAATGAATTAATTATGATAACGGAAATATTAGACTAGAATAAAAGGTACTGATAAGAGCCAAGGTAATTTATCTTTCCAGTATTTATAGAGACAGAGAAATCCTTTTTTTCCCCTCCGAAACCTGTAATAAGGTTCTGCAAACCAAACTTTTTAGATGAGACTTCTTGTGAGTGACCCATTCTTACTGTGCAGGGTAAAGACACTGCTACGCTTGACATCTTTTCCAGCTATTGATAAAAATAGTCTGTCAGATCTCTGAAAATTTGCAAACCTAATTATTCCAAGGCAGAAGTTTGGACTGGTAAATATGCTTGATTTGTTTTGCATTCCATTAAAAAAAATCAGAGATATTACACCATCTTTTTCATTGAATTGATGCTCAAACACAAAAAAAGCCATCTGGAAATTCCAGTTGTGGAGCCAAGCCCAGGGACTGCTCTTTAACCTCAGCACCCCAGAGAGTGAGGACTGAAAGCCCAGGATACAGATACACAGACAGCAACATATGCAAACAGGAAAACACAATCTGCATTTCTCCTTTGTTTGCATATTCATCAAACTGCATTTCTGTATCTGCAAGTGATCAGTTGGTTGTGTAATTATTAATTCCATTCTTATATGTATCAAATAATGATAAAACTAATGCCAATTGCATGGAAAACTGACCTTTTTTGTGTGTACCAGTTTTGATCTTCTGGTAGTTTGCTGGTACTCTAGGGTTGAGAATATTCTATGGAGTACAGTTTATAACAACCTCTGTGAGTCGGAAACAATTAGAATAGTTACAACACTGACTAAGACTTCAAATTAAAATCAGAATTATCATAAAATTAAAACCTTTTTTTGTACCCATTTTCCTTTCTGGATGTGATCAAAACCAGTTTGACTTCAAAAAAAGTCATTTATTAATAGAATTGTATGAAGACTTTTTCATTGCAACTACCTCAAGTGAGCATAAGATGTATAATGTGATTTACATCAGCCACAGAGAGATTTTCACTTTAATTCATTCTTTTCTATTGCCAGCTCTAATTTGCAGATGTTGTAGGCTTTCAGCCCAAAACAGAAGCAGAAATTCTGGCATGTTCAATGTTTGGAAAAAATTCATATCTGCAATGATAGAGGCTAAACAGATAGGACAGATGGGCAGATGAAACCAAGGGACAGAAATAAATTATGTCTTGATGTTACCTGCTGAAGAGAAAACCTTTCATGGGTTTCTAGAGCCAAACCAAAACGACACTTTTCAGAACTCCATCACTTAGTCATCAGTGACAAACTGATGAAAAAAGAAGTGAAAAGTACCAACACAGTACCTATTTTTATCCAAAATAAAACATTTCCATTTGCAGATTTTTTTTTAAAGAGAAAAAATACTAAATAGTCTATGCAGGGATTTACAAGGAAAAAGTAAGAAAAGAGATGCCTATGATCTCCCTCTATTTTCAGCCCCTCAACATCCTACCATTCCCATAATTCATGCACAAACCATTCCAGGAGCCACAGCTCGATCTGCCTGTCCTGGAATGTGAATATGAACTTCAACTGCTCATTCCAGAGTCTGCCCCAAACTCTGGGCTACAGAGATCTAATCACTCCTGAGCTCTCCTGGTATGGTACCATAATTATACCATAATTCAACACAAGGAAGGATTAGGCCTCTGCATGCATCTCTTGGTTTAGTGACACCCAATTGTCCTCATGAATCCCATTCCCCAAACCTAAACACTACAGGAATGCTTCAATATCTTAGAAAAGAAAAATTACCTGGGAAGTTAGGGACTAATCTTTTCACCAAATGCAATCTGCACAAAGCTGCACCTTTCAGTCAGTCTCTCATTCTTTTTAGCAGCCACTGTCAAGCTCAAGACACACATTGCTGAGCAGAAACACAGCCAAGTCATCTTCTGGCTGGAGATGACCCAGAACTGAGAGAGTTGTTCAGGAGCTCTGGCGCTGTTCTGCATCCTAAAGGCATCCTGACATTTAAGTGCTTTCTATAAATGTGCTCATCACTCCTGGGGGATAAAGTCATGCCCTGAGCTCCTGTCCTAGTCTTAACACAGCACTGAAACAAGTAGATTCTCCTCTGGAGGATGAGGGAAAGGTGTGCCAACATTTTTCCACAAAACTTTATCAGACAAAATGAAAAGCCCACTGCCATTCAACACACAAAGCAGCCAATATCGTCCCTCAGCAGGTTATTATAAAGTGTTGTGCACAGAAATCCTAGATTATAATTTTCATTTGAGAGAAGGGCAGTGACAGAGAAAGTCCAGGTTACCAGTGGAATTGTATTGCTTCTTGTCTGTTCATTGCATGGGCTGATAAGAGAATGCCACAAAAACAGCTATGGATGTAGATGCATCCAGTTTTTCTAATATTCCCCATTAAAAGCACCAAAGATTTAAAACTGGCACCAGAACTCAGTGGCACTAAGTTTCATATTCTGACTGCTTGCAATAACTTTCAGGAGCAACATCATTTTACAGGTAATTTTACAGTATTCATTAGAATTCTAATGGAACTCAGTAGCATTGAATAATAAGTGTGCATAAAGATGCTTTAAGGTCAAATCCAGCATACATCAATGAATAGAGAGGTCATAATGTGATAACCAGCTTGGATGGAAGTTTAGTTCTGACTGACAGAAGTATTGGAGAATGGTTTATTCCCAGGCAGTTAAACATGAGATGTTCTTCTTACCTGGTGTACGATATGCATTTTCACTCAATATTTCACATGGGACAGAGGAATCACAAGTGTCTTCATCTTTCCTCATGGAAAACCTTGACTCATCTTCCCAGCCCCTACTAAAAACCTTAGCACAATGCTCCTATAAGCAACAAAGGAACACAAAACTGATTGGCTTATTAACAGATATAAACATTTTCAAGGGAATATTTGTTTGAAATAATGAAGCAGTAAGCAGCATGGCCTGAAAACACTCCAAGTTACAGCAAGCTGTGCCCAGCACACCTGCAGGGGGCTGTGGCAGGGCAGCTGATGCAGCTCTGTGCATTGGGAGCTGCATCCTACATGCAAAGTGTGCATGCACATCTCACAGAAGCAGAGCAGGGCTCTGCCAGGCCCCTGAGCCCCAGCATGCCCAGCACCCTGCAGGCTGCCAGGTGCTGCAATGCAGACTTGTTCTGCCTGTCTAGATGCTCTGTGGGAAATTGATCCTGCTTATTTATGACCACTACACTGTCAGAGCATCAGGAGCTGCTTTCTCAAGTCCTAGTGATGGGCTCCATTAATTTTATTGAAACATAAATTTCACATTAGAGTTTTGATCTCTAACTTTGACAAAGACATTAATTCTCAGACAGAAAATTTTCATGAAGCCCACATTATTTCCTGCTAGGATACTGTATATATTCTCTATTTCAAATTACAGAGAGCCTCTATACATTCTAATGATATATTATGCCCTGTAATACCTTTATGTGTAGTATGCAGTCCCAGAGTCCCTAAATTATTCATCATGATGTGCTTCAGAAGCAGAGTTTGTTCATATCTCTTTAGGTAGTTGGAAGCACTGTAGCTCTATTTAACCCATTCCACACACTAGCAGAGCTCATTCAGTTAATATTAAGCAAAATAAATAACTCTTTTCCTTTGGTCCTCACATTCACATTTTAAATTGATCTAAGAGGTCCAAATCACCCTATTTTACTTTCAGTTCAAGCCTTACAAATATGGACATCACAAAAGCTAAGGAACTATGACATGACAAAAGACAATGTGTACTGAAGATCAAAGAGAGAAATTAGCTAAGTGCTGGAGTAAATCCTTCAGGGATGTTGCTCACTCTCCATCCCTGCTAGGGAGATCAGGTTGAACAAATGTGTGTAAGGAATGGCTTAAGTGGAGTTCACCTTCCCTTCAGGCAGAATTATGGGTTAGATGACCTCCTGAGGCTTCCTTCAGATCAGTGAGGAATCAGTTTACAAACACAGCAGCATTAATCACTGTCTTTGCAGTGCCCTTCCTGGCCCTTGTGTCTCTCAGGATGATGCTCAGGAGCTGCAGCTTCTACAGCAGCACCACAGAGCTGCTTCACCTCCTTCTGCAGGGCAAAGCACTGGAAATCAGAAACACTCTGAGGCTTGCTGTAACTTGTGCATCTCCTCCTTCAGCTGCTGTGTCTTACCCAGTAAGACAAAGTGTTCTAAAGCATTTCAAGCTACAGGCTTTCCAGTTGGCTGGCAAAACCTCTATACCTCATCTGGTGAGAAGGAAAAAGCAGTGTAGTTTCAGGTTCAAAAAGTTGTGAGTTTGAGAGCTGTTTGAAGGGAATGAGGACTAAGGGAAGGCCTCCTGCACCTGCAGGTTCCTGGCACTGCCCCAACACCATCTGTGCAAAAACCTGTGGGAAGGAGAGATTTATATGTTCAATGTATTAAATCTTTTTTTTTTTTTTCTGTTCTGCTTCGGGGCACTTACACTTCTTCTCAAAATCCTGTCACCACACAAACTAAAATAATGCTTTCTATTTTAAAGTTCCCTTGGTAGAAGCTAAAGGATGGTAATAGCTCCATGAAAGCCAGGCATTCATTTTTGTCACCTCCTCACTGCCCAGTACCTCCAGGTCAGAAACAGGTTTTCAATTTCCTTTTGGCACCCGCAGCAGGCCTGTTACAGGAACACACAGTTCTGTGCAAGCAAAAAATCCAGAGACACAGGCAGTGTCTTTGTGGAGCAGGCAGACAGGAACTGATAGCAAAACCCTTGTGCACTTCAGGAGAAAATGGGAAAGTTTTAAAGTAATTCTTATCCTGAAACTATTCATTCAATTATACCTAAAATATGGCTTGAAAAGTAATAGGAAAACCACAGGAGAAAGCATTTCCAGAGTTCTTTTTTTTCCTTTTTACCATACACCTCAAATAGATGACAGCTGATAAAACAGAAAAATACCCTAACATATCTGGAGAAGTAAACAGGGAGCAATTCAGAGAGAACAAGAGTGTACTTGCATTTTACTCTTCTGGCTTTCAAGTGAGCACTTGCCTGAAACATTATGAACTGTCAGAACAGAACAGCATCATACATTCCCTTTTTGTTGGGAGAGTCTTATTCCTGTTTTTAAGAGCTGATTAGCCCCAAATGTTGGGGGAGGGAGACAACAGCACATCCTGCACTAAGGAAAATACTGCCATGCTGCAGAGTGGGCAACAGAAGTCAGAGCAGCAGCTGCTTTGTCAAACCAACCAATGCAAAATCTATTGTGCCACTGATGTCTCATTAATATGAATATTGGAAAGGTTTTATTGCTTTTCACATTTTCAAGACTTAGGTCAATTAATTCCCAAGAATTTCAAAGATTCATAAAAGCTCTTTGAAAAAAATATGGGGTTTTTGGCATAGATTTGGTTGCAAAATCTGTAATCAGTATCATATCTGGACAACCACTATTACTATAAATGCAATAAAAGCCAGAAATTGACTAGGAGTAATTTTTTTCAGCACTACTTAAGATGCCACACATATGAGGAAATATATAAAAAGTAGAATATGCACTTTTGAAAAGGAACATAGATGGCATTCCAACAGAGAGTAAAATAAAGCAAAACTTTCAATATTAGGAAATAAAATACCTAAAAACATTGTGCCAAATGAAAACAGAATGCAAGTTCCTAAGGCTGCAAGAAAATGACCAAAATTATTTCACTATTCTAGAGATTCATCACAGTATCTTTGGTACCTGATTAAAAACAAAACAAAAAAAAAAGAAAGAAAAAAAAGAAACAGAAACAAAACAACAAAAAAATAATCCCTCTAAGATTCTTTTATTTATAGGTACAGACATACACAGAGATACAGTTATGTTTCTTACAGGTATTCTCCCTGCCTTTTGATGTTCTTATTTTTAACCCCACTGATAAAGTCAGAGTTCTATTCCACTTACTTATTGGCTAATTTTTCATTAAAAGCTACCATGATCACCAGTAGGACCTGTACTACATCACTGAGGTGGAGTAAAACATATTTCTCATTGAGTTTTGCATCACTGGAGCACATAAATGAATTCAGGACATAAAAATATTCAGGTGATGAGTACCTTTAGGATTGAGCTTCACAGCAGATGATATAAAATTCAGTAGCTCATAAGTGAACTAAATTTTCAGATCTGCTGATCTGTCTTTAAGACTTTGGATTCTAAATACCTATATATATAACATGTTGCAGTAGAACTTTGGAAAATATTGAAAGAAATCACTTGTATAGTGTGTCACTGTGCACACCAGAGTCCTAACTCATCCTGGGAGCAAACATCCACAGGGAAGTGAGGGTCATCAATAGTAGGGTCATCTCTCTGACACATCAATATTCATCATGAGTGGCAAAATAATCCGAGATTTTCCAAACAACAGGGACACACACCAAGGGCATCCTGTTGTCACCTCACTCAGGGTTAGGGTTTATACCAAACTTAATAACAAAGCAAAATAATGGAACTCCTAGAGTATCTCAGTTGTCTAAATCTACATCAGAATTATGCAGATATTTGTTTTGCACATTTTCAAGTATCACCACAATGCCTCTCCTTAAAAATAGACAAAAAAATGCATTTGAACTGCAGCAGTACTGCCTTTAAATGCTTGGTGGGTTTTTTTATCCTCTTCTCACTGTTTAAAAAAAGAATAAGTATTGACATCTTGAGACCTTTGCAGTTGTCCTGGAGTCATTAATCTCTGGCTGACCTAATAAAATCAGACTTTACTTATATTTCACTGATACCTTGTGATAGTCTTGCATGCACCCCTCAGCTTGTTAGTTATTATATTTGTACTACAGAACATGAAATATGACACTAGAAATAAATCACTTTCTTTTGTGGAGAAGAAAAACCACTGCTGCATTTTAAATGTGAAACACTTCCAAAAGTGTCTCATTCTCTATTAGCAGTACCATGAAGAAAGTAAATTTTTTTATCCTTCAAGTGGAAGCCAGAATGGTGACTGTCATACAATTACAGCCTCACCAATTCTACCATGAGTCAAAATAATAAAATCTCTTTAAAACAACTCCCTCTGCCAAGCAAAAAAACCTTCCTAAACTATTTGAGAATTTCTTCTTCCTTGCAGTTTCTAAAAATTGACATTTTCTGAATTTGAGCTTTACAGATTCACATTCTGGCCCTTAATCGATTTCATTTCTATGTAAATACAAGAGTGCAATTGTATGCACAAAATGTGTACAGTAACTAGAGAAGCATTTGTTGCTACCAGTTTGTTTTTTATGGGCTCTTTGTGCAAAAGCACAACTACAACTACAGTTCCTACAGAAGCTGTGCCCTTCTGTTCCCAGGGAAAAGACTCTCCCATGCTATCACTGCCACTCATTATTTTTTCTTTAGTCTCCTGCACAGGCTGCTCCTCTGTGTGAGAAATGTACCTGGCAAGACACTGGAGTGTTCAGAAATCAATAGAAAAGGAGCATAAAATGACAAAAGAAACTACCCCAACGTGAATTATTTGGTTTTTAGTGCCAACCCTTGTGTTTATCAGTAAAAAGCACAGGCCTTGATGGTATTTTAATTTTACCAAAACCAGAAATCATGCACTGTTTGAGGACAAGCCAGGACAACATGTGTGCAGATATATCTTTTTCCTTATCTTATGTTTATTATAGATCAATTTGGAGTTTCATTGCATCCCAAATATTAAAGAAACAATTTTTAGATTGTTAATTTTACAGCTCATGAATTATGATTCAGCCAATTTACATCCACCTAATCTCAAGAAAAAATGAGATTTACAGTGAAGTTAGCAGATAAAAAAAAACCACCACTAACCCAAGGCAGTACTGAAAAATAGGTCAAGGAAATGAGAGGAGTTCTTATGTCAGGAGCCCCTAATTCAATTTGCCTCATGTTTGAATCAAGAAAAGAATCAAAGATTAGCAACCAGTCAGAAAAAGTAACGTACAGCTTAAAATATAGGTATGTGTAACAGATTTTGGCAGTTCTAGCTTCGACAGAATTGAAGTCTGTAAGTTTGGGTGCTTTTAGTTATTTGTTTTGCCTACAGTTTTTAAAATTTATTTCATATATTAATTTAATATTTTCGTTATTATTTTGATTATTTAATTTATTCCTATGTATTAATCTGCTTATTGAATCCCACACACTGTTCTGAAATATACTACAATATTTCAATGCATTTTGATTTTTGCTTTTTGAAGAGTATACATAGTTACCTTCTCAGTCTTGTTTCTTTAGAAAATCTTTGTCATTATTGCCATATTCAATATTACAGGGAAAAAAAAAACTTCATATGGCAATGCTGAAGCCAGTAATATTTAAAGAAAATCACCCCACAAATGTTTTTTTTTGTTTGTTTCTGTGGAGTATCTCATGATAAGTACCCCAACAAATGTATCTGAGGCACTTCAATCCTCCAGCAAAGCAGCCCAGAGCTAACCATGGGTTTATGGATGCCTCTGTGCTCACCTGAAGGTGCTGACACCCTCTGTGTCTTCAGCCTCCTGTTTTCTATTTTTTTTATTGGCAGGCTGGGATATCATTTTAATTTCTTGTCTTGGGCAATTCATAGGCTAAATTAGGTTTCCCTCTGTATTTCTTTTTTAAGCAAGACAGAAATACGATAATTGATAGCAGTACTGAATATTTCTTGAAATTGCTTTGGCAGGAAGTCAGGGAATGAGTTGCAGGGGTAAATTGCTGCCACTCAGCAGCCCAGCCCAGTGAGGGACACTCATCTTCCGAGTGTGTGGCCTGAGGACACTGAAATTATTCTCATTTATTCAGGGGCTTTGGGCCCCTTTTGGCATCCTGTGTGATTTAACAGCCTCCAACTGACAGACACCTACATCAGACATTCCTGCCCCACTGTGTTATTAAATGTCTGGTTTTTTAATGAGAATCTGCTTTATTGCCTTCATTTTAGATGCCATTTTAGAAACTTTCTGAAGGTTTTGAACTCCTTGAGCTTGCAACAGTACAGAAAGGGTCTTTGCTGGGGGCAACCATGCCATGGAGAGATTCTTTTTAGCTCTTAAGAAAACCAGACAAAATATTGCCTCAATCAGGATAGGAAACTGCCTAAAATAGGCATATCAGAAATCTTTCCTTTTGTACAGTCTGTTTCTCATATGAGTGAGAAATATATAATATCCCTCATATCTCCCTGTGGAAACACTCACCAAACAGAGCTCAGACTCTGAGAAGCAGGAACCATAACCCCTCAAAACTTTGTCTCTAAAAATTTCCTTTCCTGCATTTTCCAGCTGCTCCAAAAGCCAGCCAGTGGCAGAAGTAACCCAGCCTTCTTCCCCCAGCACTACCTTGGCCGTCCCTGAAATGCAGTGGCCAGGCAGAGTAAGACACTGAGCCCAGCAGTA